CATCCAGGCCGAACGGGCCTTGCAAGGCCGTCTCTCCCTCTGGGCAGCATCTGGGCCTGGCAGGGATTGGGCTGAGACCAGCTGTCGGGTGTGAGCAGCTCCCTGTGTTCTCCCCCTCCTTCACTCCAGGTGTATCTGTCCTTGGGCCTGAACCAGTCGGAAATAGACGAGTACGTCACCGGCCCCGCCTTCCTCGCCTGGAACCGCATGGGAAATCTGCACACCTGGGACGGGCCGTTGCCTCTCTCCTGGAACCTAAAGCAGCTGTACTTGCAGGTACCTGCACTTGGCGCGCTGCTGGGGCCGTGTCTGTGCGCGCCCAGCCTGCATGTCCTGGAGATGCCCCTGCTGGCAGCTCTCCATGCCAACGCCACTCTGCCTCAGCTGGCAGGTGCTTCCCAAGAAGCACATAGAGTCCTAGAACACTAGAACTGGAAGGGACCTCGAGAGGTCAAGTCCAGTGTCCTGGCCTCCCAGCAGGGCCAAACGCCATCTCGACCAGTGGTTCTTAACCTGGGGTGAACGCCCCCCCAGGGGTGCGAGATGCCTTTTCTGCGGGTGCGAGACATGCCAGTTTTTTATGCTCTATCTTAGGTTTAAAGAACTGACCTACTTCAACGATTTTTAATAAGGGGTGTGAGAGCATATTTTGAGAACCAAAGGGGGTGCAGGCTGCAGTAAGGTTAAGAACCACTGGTCTAGACCATCCCTGACAGGTGTTTGTCTAACCTGCTCTTGAATATCTCCAGAGATGGAGATTCCACAACCTCCCTAGGCAATTGATTCCCGTGTTTGACCAGCCTGACAGGTAGGAAGTTTTTTTTCTAATGTCCAACCTAAACCTTCCTTGCTGCAGTTTAAGCCCATTGCTGTTTGTCCTATCCTCAGTGGCCAAGGAGAACAATTTTCTCCCCTCCTCCCTGTGACACCCTTTTAGATACCTGAAAACCGTAATCTTGTCCCCTCTGTCTTCTCTTTCCCAAAGTAAACAGCCCAGTTCTTTCAGGCTTCCCTCATAGATCATGTTCTCTAGACCTTTCATCATTTTTGTTGCTCTTCTCTGGACCCTCTCTGATTTCTCCACATCTTTCTTGAAATGTGGTGCCCAGAACTGGATACAATACTCCAACGGAGGCCTAATCAGTGCAGCGTCGAAGAGAAGAGTGACTTCTCCTGTCTCGCTCACGACAGTCCTGTGAATCGCAGCCCAGAAGCACGTTTGCTCTTTTGCAGCCGTGTCACCCTGCTGACTCATATGTAGCTTGTGGTCCGTTATGACCCCTCGATCCCTTTCTGCCGTGCTCCTTCCTAGACAGCCACTTCCCGTTCTGTGTATGTGAAACTGACTGTTCCTTCCTAAGAGGAGCACTTCGCATTTGTCCTTATTAAACTTCACCCTGCGTACGTCAGACCCTTTCTCCAGCTTGTCCGGATCATTCTGGATTTTGACCCTGTCCTCGAAAACACTTGCAGCCCCTCCCAGCTTGGGGGGAATAAGCTCCCGGGGGAAGGGTCCTAGAAATCATGCCTGAGGAGCTGGTCTGAGCTGACCTGACCTGGGTATTGACTAGTTCCTCCAGGCTGAAAGCCCCTGTCCTTTCCCCTCTGCCCAGGACCCATGAGCTCGGAGCTTTGATCAGGGTTGCGACCAGGGGCTGGAGACTCAAGTACCAATGTGGTCCCGTGGCAAGTGGCCGTCTCTGAGACGGGAGATACAGCCCCTCTCTGTATGGGTCCCAGAGCAACGTTCGGTGTCTCCCCGCCCGGTCGCTCCCCTTGATCCGGCTTGTCCTCCTTTCTCCCAGTACAAGATCCTGGAGAGGATGCGATCGTTGGGGATGATCCCGGTGCTGCCGGCCTTCGCGGGGCACGTCCCCAAAGGCCTCTTGAGGTAGATGCAGAGACGGGAGCGCTTCCGGGTTGGGGCTAATCTCTCTCCTGGATGTGCCTCCCTCCCCACTGGGACTCAGCTCCCTGGGACTGCCAGAGGCGTGCACCTAGCTGTGGTGCTCGGCCTCACCGGGGAGCCCTCCCCTTGCACTGACTCCCGGCTCCTGGCCTGTGTCCTTAGGGTTTTCCCCCGAATAAACGCCACCCAGCTCAGGAGCTGGAGCAGCTTTAACTGCACCTACTCGTGCGCCTACCTGCTGGACCCCGGGGACCCCATGTTCCAAGTGATCGGGGCCGTCTTCCTGAAGGAGCTGATCCGAGAGTTCGGCACGGATCACGTCTACGGCGCGGATACCTTCAACGAGATGAGCCCCCGGTCCTCCGACCCAGCCTACCTCTCCGGGATCAGCGCTGCCGTCTTCAAATCCATGACGGGAGGTAGGACCCCAGTGGGAAACCAGGCTCCTCCTCACGCAGGGGTGGGGAACCGACGGCCCGGGAGCCAGATCCGGCCCTTGGGGCTCCCCCAGCATCAGGGAGCCGGTGCTCCAGCCCTGAGGCATCCCCAGCCCACTCCTGCCTCCGACCTCCAGCGCTGCTCCTGCACCCTATTGCCTGCCCAGACCCGCCCGCTTCCCAGCAGCCCCCTCCCACACACTGACCCCCTCATTTTGGCCCCACTTCAGAGCCTAGGGGGACCCACAAAATCTACAAGCCCGGGTCCCCCCAGGCTCCGGTGTGCGAGGGGAATGTGGGGAGTGTGTCTGCTGCTCAGTCGGGAGACCCGTCAGTGAGGTGGGCTTTTTGGGGGAGGGGGGATTTTGCTTCTCACTTTTGTGCTGCCTCCAACTGATTTTCCTGTGGGTCATTGGCCCCTCACCCAGAAAAGGTTCCCCATTGTTCTAAAGGGCTCTGCCTGGGGGGGGCCTTTGCTGTGCACTCAGGCCAGGGCCGGGGCAGCACGGGGCATCTTGGGGGGGTAGCGAGACCCTTTCACGGCCGGGCTTTGGGTCAAGCTTGGTCTGGGTTCCAGGCCGGGAGATTCCTGCCCTCGAGGCTGCGGCTCTGTCCCGGCTGCGCTGGCTCGGGGCCGGGCTGGCTGGGTGGGTGCCCAGGGAGAGGTG